AATCTTGGCTTCGCTGGTCACCGGTGACTCCCAGGGCGCTACGAGCAAACTAAGTGCCGCTCACCGATTATCCCCATGGCATTCAACGTGTTAAAGAAAATCTTTCTCATACATTACCAAAATACTAGGTAATATTTTAATAAAAAACAGGCGAATCCATTGACTCTGTTAATGGAAACATTTCACCGTTAGCCACAAGATAACAGACATTTCAACCATAAAAACAGAAAGAGAAACTGTAAACGAAACTAACTTGTAGACAAGGCATCAAAGAAAAACAAGAGAGGCAAGTCAGTCCATTCTTAGATCTCCACAACAAACAAGATTGCTATTCTATTTTTCTAAGAATGTGCAGTTTGTTTAACGAATCCACTTGTTGACAATCAAAAGAATAGCCGCCTTCATTTCACTTAAATGGCACTTCAATTATTTCGGACCGGAAGCTACATTCTCTTGATTTATGAAGTAGGTTAGGAGTAATTTTAAGGTCAATTTCTTTTTAAAAAAACCAGGTCAGTACTCGCAAAGTTATTTAAATTAGATAAATATTTATATAAGTAAAATTTTAATTTCATAATAACAGTCGAATGGATATTTTATTTTTATAAAGTTCTACTGTACGTACATTTCGGAAGAATTATCTAAAAAATATTTCTGAAATTCAATACAGCTTCATGTATTAATTATTATCACAATTAATTGTTATTTAACTATTACAGGGTGCGTAGCCAAATTATTCAACTAAAATAAGCACTTTTCAAGCACTCAAAAATATTTTTAAGCACTTAAAAAAAATCATAATTAGGCAGGGTTGGGAAGGTTTTGACAATTGACGGTTTTATCTTGTTTTAACCGTCATGTCAAGAAAAAAAAAACCTTTTGGCATTGTTTTTGACAATTGTCAAAAATCATGAAATTTTGAATCATATAAATGAATGGCCTTTTGATACGCAACGGACTGACAATACGGCGAAATGGAGTGGGGATGAATTAATTATGAAAACGTAGAATAGAACAACGTGAACTGTGTCTTTTTGCATTATTCAAAGCAAAAGTCAACACAGTAAAGGAAAAATCTCATTTTGTAAAAGGGAAAATTAAGCACTTTTTAAAATCACCCAATGAAAAAAGCACCTTAAAGGAGTTTTAAAAAACGAAAATCGAAAATAAGCACCTTTAAGCACTTTTTAAAAACGCTGCTCACCCTATATTACTACAGTTTTTAAAATATTTAATTTTTGTTTCATTCAAATCATAGCATTTTATTTAATAACTGTTGTTCAACAGCCGACCCAATTTCCAGTTTACCAGTACCAATGTTGAGCTCCGTATCCTTGTTATTTTGAACCCAATCCAGAAGACAAGAAAACTCCTGGATCAAGTATTGGGTGAAATTTGCCTTCGAGGAGGACTTTTTGATGCAGCTGAACTAACTCGCATTTGTATAAAAAAACTCCCATCGATGTTTTTTTTTTTTTTGAAGTAACAATCACGAATACATTGTTAAATTTCATACTTTGTTTATAAAAGTGGTTGAAATAAAGCTTTTTTTCCTTTATTTGGCGTTTTTCTTCTGAAAAAAATACAAATGACGTTGAATAAGACTTTTGAAGTTTTGAAAAATTATTTGGGGAATGGATTGTTTTTTCCTCACCCCTCGACGCGACGCCTATGTTCACATGCATAATATAAGTAAAGGGGATTGAGCTAAAAAGTGAAATGTTCACATGCATAATATAAGCAAAGGGGATTGAGCTAAAAAGTGAAATGTTCACATGCATAATATAAGTAAAGGGGATTGGGCTAAAAAGTGAAATGTTCACATGCATAATATAAGTAAAGGGGATTGAGCTAAAAAATGAAATGTTCAGATGCATAATATAAGTAAAGGGGATTGAGCTAAAAAGTGAAATGTTCACATGCATAATATAAGTAAAGGGGATTGAACTGAAAAGTGAAATGCCATTCATATACGATCATTCATAAACGATCTTCAAGTAGTAATTTTTACGTGAGATATTTCCATTCAAGAGTTACCATATTTTATGAGCTTCGGATGAAATTATTAAGACAGACAAATAAGCTATCTTCTTTTTAATTACTTCCTTATTGGAAGACGTCTCCGCTTCCAATAATAGCAAAAATTCTACACTCACAAAAAATTAATGATACACGCCTTCAACCTAATGGAATTGATAAGAAATTAATCAACCTAAAAGAGGCCTCTTGACCTTTAAAAACCTTGCATTTAAGAAAACACTGCTTAAACATTACATTCATAAGTAAGAAGAGGGAAGATATTAAACACGTTGGAAAATTATTTAAAAGAAAAAATAAGTATTGTTCCTCTTACAGAATTGTAAAGCAATATTTTTGTAAAGACTACAATGTATGCCAGCACGAGCCTGCTTTGGCCTGCTCCTATTGCTATTTTGACCTTCCTTGGGGTTCATGGTTTGAGTGTTATTTAGGTAATTCGGAAAACGGAGGTAAAAAAATGGTTGTCTTTTTACTTTGTAACCCCTGAAGAAATCAAAATAGTCAAAATGGATGATGATTGATAATGCGTAATAAAATGCATAATTTTAGATAAAGAAACGGAATAAGACTCCTGTTGCGAAAAAAAGTATTTTTCCTTTTCATTTTGACATCCAATATTTTTATTAAAATTTTTCAGACGAACAAATGGAACAAAAACTCATGATTTGGGGGAAGATAGAGAAGCAAACAACAAAAAGAGAACATCCCGCTCAACATTAATTTAAAATGAAGTTAATTTGAAATGGCATTTTTATTGTCTCAAACTTTCTTTATTTCTTATTTACTTAATTGAATAAACTAAAAGTTTAAATAAATTCCATCATTAATTTTAAAATTCTGGTTTAGATTAAATATTTTAGCCTAGTTTTAAGCATACCGAGCTACGAGGAGGCCCACGATAAATCATCAAGGGACGAGCTAATATTTTGAATACTTTAAGCAAAATAGATCTAGAAAATAATTTTCAATATTTGAGGGATATATTTATAAAATCATTGTTGGATTTCAATTATTTTTAGAAAAACCTATATTTTCTATTTACATTCCAAGAAGTACAAAATAACAAAAAAGGTAAATTTATAACCAGCGTTTTAATTGGAATTGAAACTCACATTTTTTTTTTTTTGAGGGAGGATGTTGGCGTATATTTCAGAAGCGTTTATTGGTGCGATATATTTCTCTAGTCACTTGTATTTCATTTTAAATACACACAACTCCATTATCTTAAAAAAATGTAAAACAAATTTATAACCAGTGCTTTAGTTGGACGAGAACGCGTAATAACGCAGTTTCTAAAAATATTTGAGTTCTTAAGGAGGTTGCTAAAGTAATGATGTAAGCTCCTTAAATACTTTTACCATTTAAATCACGTTATCACACCCCTTTCTAGACACCATGTTGTACTTTTTCAAGTAATGTCATCTCCAATGGTTGAGTGAATTCCATTATTATGTTTTCACTATCGTAACAAGAACGGGAAGTTCGAATAAGTGCCTTTAGTTTGAATTAAAACTTTTAAAAAAAAATTACGGTTACTTATATTGAAAATATTGATAAAAAAATGTTTTTATTGGACTTACAAAATATTTTTATTTTTTATTTTTTCGATAGTTATTTTTTACTATAGGTCACTACTAAATTATCTATTCTATGTTGTATTATTTACGTTCTATTACTTGCAAGCGAGAATGGGCAAATCTCAAAATTTTTACATGCTTTCCAGAAGGCGTGATTTTCCGATCCAGCGGCTTTTAACAACCAGCTCTTCTGCCTATCAGTTTCTTAAATTTAAAAAAATAATTATTACTTACTTTTTTTTTTAGTTTAGGTGACAATTTTTAAAAGGAATGAAATACAGAGACCACCTCTGGGTAGCGAACTCTTCTATTTACAATCACTTTCGGGAGGCACGGAATTTTTCCCATAGACTTTGTGTTGAAGAAAACCTTTAGGAGAAAACCTCATCAAAACCTCCCTAAGCGATCGGGAAAACCTCCTCACCAAATGTGGAAAAGGTCAAATGAGGAAACACGAAAAATATCAAAACAAAAAATAGTAACAAAATAAGTTGATTTAAATGTATTCAAAATATTTGTGAGTGGTTCTTATTTATAGAGCTCTTTTTGACGATCTTTGAAAGAGATCGACAACCTCATCAGTCAGAGTGCACCAAAGACGATTCTACCAACGATTTATTTTTAGAGCTGAAAATTAAATTTAAAAAAAAAAAAAATAATAATTCTTTTAGAAAAATCTAAGCATTTTAAACAAACAAGCTTTAAAGCTACCTAATTTCTTATGATATAAAATTAAATGCAAACTTCAAAAAGCAAAATTGTTTAGCCATTTAAAATAGCTGTATCTTTCTTAACTGGTAAGTTTGTTTTTACACAAAATAATATTAGTAATGATCATTTTTATTGATGCTCAAGTTTATCGATCATCGATCCGTTTTTCATGACGCCAACACATGTGACATTTTCGTATCAAGAAAATTACCTGAAAATGACCAAAAAAATGACACTGCTTGAAAAGCTCTTTGAGAATGGAAAGATGGTAGATATGAATTTATACTTAAAACAATATACGAAGCAGGGCCCGCACTAAGCATTCGCCACCTCGCAAATGCGGTAAAATCGTACATTTGGCGAATAAAATTGTGTTTCGGAGAAAGTATTAGCGAATAATTTTTTCCACTGGAACGAAAATATATTTTTAACACGATCCTCAAAATTACGTCAAAATGAATTTTTCTAAACAAATCAATATTTTTTATTCGATTACAGTAATTTTCGGTAGGAAGCAATTAGAATTGGGTCCAAATAATATAAGCCTGAAACAAACAATCGTAAAATAGTTTTCGATGGGGAAAAAACTAATGAAAATTTTTTTAAAATTTGCATTTGGCGAAGACTTCTGCAAATTGGCGAAGTTTTTTGATATTTGGCTAATTTACTGGCTATTCATTTGAAATCCTTAGCGCTGGCCCTGAAGAAGTAATGTGAAACTGTAAAAAAGCTTAAAAAGGAAAACTGATTGAGAACACAAAAATATCTGCACGCCTTTTTGTCTTTAAATTTTCATTGCCTACTGTAGCTTTGTCAAAACTCATTTTTTCTATATTTCAAATTAGATACGGAGATGAAACAGAATTTGCGATGGAAAGTTTCTCAAAAGGTATAGCGTTCTCTTAATTAAATAAAATAATACTTTAAACAATCTTAATGATGCAATGACATATGTGATGTCATAAAATATCAAAATTACGGCTTGTGACGATTCTGTAAAACGTCACAGACATGACGTAGTTAATAACTGCGTCACCGGACAACGAATCTATCTACATTATGCCAATTTTCAATGATGCTCCAGATAAAGCAGTTGGATTATGTAACAAACCTTGATAATTTTTGATCAAAACTTGAGGCTGATAGCGTTGGAAGAGTAATTTTATCGAGTAAATCAATCAGTAAGGTAATTTTATAACATAAAAATGATAAAAAAAATTATAATCTGATTATAAATACCATTTGTATCACAGAAATGAATATCATCTGCTACAAGCGGTCGCCACCGACGAGACGAATCGACAGTATGTAAAGGAGATAAATTATGTAAATGAGAATGATTCTTGTCTGATGTTGATATTGGATAAATGACGTAATCACCGGTGGATGTATGAATATCACCTGTCTGAAAAGAAAAAATTTAGAATTTTGTTAGTAAACAGTATGCAATTAAAAACATATCCTAAATATACAGTGAAATCAGTGAAGTTGACCAAAGTCACCACTTTCTAAGTTAACCCTTTGAAGCAGAATATTTATTAAAAGTATTTTTCATCATTTTAGGTCAAAATAAATAAAAAATATATTTAGCATTTTAATAATTTATGGTTATGAAATACAGCATGGAACACCGGTGTCTTTTTCTGCGTTAAAGGTAAAATTTTCCAAACACGGTTCACTTCCAAACAATAATTTTTCAAATTTGCACTTATTTGCAGCTATTTAGATCTAAGAGAAACAATCATTCATTTCAAAATTTTTAATCTGTAAAAACAATTATTGATAAACTTTTGAAGATGAATAAAAAAAAAATTTTTTTTTTCAAACTTTTTTTTGGATTTTTTATTTTAGTAAAAAAATTGTTTTTGTATTTATTATTTTGTACAAAGATTTTATATTTTAGCACACATTTTTAGTAACAAGCAATTACTGTTTTTTGTAATTAAAAAATATCAAAATATATTTCTACTTGTTATTAGAGCTTCAGAAAATATATATATAAAAAGAACACCGGTGTTCAATCAGCGTCAAATTATTAACCTCAATTCCGAAATAGCCAAATTTATTCTGTGAAAAAAAAATATAAAAAATAGCAAAACCTTTGTAAACTGACCACAGGTTAATTTTGTATGCTGGCAAATGAAATAAGTCAAATTTGTCTAGAAGGCGATTCTAAGTAAACCTTTCATAAGTTGACCAGAAAAAATTTTTTTACATTTTCTATGCTATTATCTTTTTAACCTTTTTACGAAATTGATTTAATTTGATGAATAGTACTTAAAAGCTAAGAGAGTTGAACATATGAGATAACTATTAATGGCTACTGTAACAGATGTCAGTAAGCAAATATACCAAAATAAACGTTGAAATACTAAAATTAATATAATTCCACGTAAGTTATTTCATTTTTTTAATCTTTGTGCACTGATACATTTTTAAAAAAAATCTAAAAAAACACTTGGCATAAAGTACTAATAATATATGATTTTTTTTGTTTTGTTTTTTATTCAGTTTAATACTAAAAATATACACCGCATTGTAAATCATTAACTTCATTTCTTAAGATAAATGGGTTATTTGATAAATAAAGTTTTAAGAAAATATCTGGGTCATTACATTGGGAGACGAGCGCTCTATCCCCTGAGCCATCACAGCTCAAGAAATGAAAATAAATTAAAAAAAGTCAATGACGCAATATATTAGATGTAGATTTTCATATAAGTTAGTTTAATCAGCTTTAATAAAACTCAGCTAGTCGGCGTCTTTGAGAACGAACTTTCCGTTTTTTTTTTTTTTTTTTTTTTTGACTTATAAATCACAAGGGGTTCTTTTAGCTGTAGCATACGCCCCATACACATCAGAAATGTCACGAGCAGCATTTGCGGCATTGGAATCTGAACTTGACATTTTATTTCAATAATCTGAAAATTACTATAACAAGTCGATCAAATAAAAAGAAAAGGAATATTTCAGTTGAACAAAATGTCCTTTTTCGAATGATCTAAAACAGCGGTTCCAAAAAAGTCAAACGGAACCTTAGGGTTCCGCGGAAAGGTCACTTAAGTTGGTACTCCTCTTTTTTAATCAGAAATTTTTGATACATGTAATAGATTTTTTTTTCTAACCAATAATTGTTTTTTTAATATTTAGGTTATTTTCATGAAATTATTAAATAAAATGTCAATAAAAAAAGAAATTGAAAATTTTAATTTTTTCCATTAGTAACAATATATTGCATGAATTATTAAAATGGTATACATTTACTAATGATTGCATCAGTAAAATTCCCAATTTGAAGAATAAAGAATCATTTTTCTCCGTTAACCGTTCTCACAGTTTTCAAGAGTTCTTTTACACAAACTATAAATCAGCTTATTTTATTCAATTTTATTTACGCTTACGTCAAATACTACTAAACTAAAAGCCGTGCAGAGTTACGAATTCAACTGTCTTACATAAAACCCGAATTTATAAGTTATTACTAAAACAATGAAAAAAAATTTCCTATTCACATTAAACATTCCTAAATTTGCAGTGTTTATTTTTCTTCTTTGATTGCTAACTTGCTTCACTTGCTGACTAACTTCTTTTTTTTTTTTATAAGTCAGAGTTCCACTAAAAGAAGTTCGTTAAGGGCAGCGGTTCCCAATTTTTTTTCGGCTACAGAACCCTATATAATCAAAAATTTTCGGTGGAACAAAGTTATAAATAAAGTTTATTAAGGCAATTAAGAACGTTAAAATCTGTAAAAACTATTTTCAAAATATTTAATTATAGGAATAAATATTTTTCATCGATTGATCATTAAAAATTTTTAATTAGGTTATTTGTCCGACAGTTTAAATTTGCAAAAATTATTTGTGCACTATCTAGTCTAATTATTAATTTGTTTTTGGTTTATGTATTTATATATAAGCTGAAAATGAATAATATAAGCCCGAATTATATTTTACTTCAAAATTGTTCCTTTCATAAGTTGTTCAATATATTGTTATCATAAAAACAATATTTTCTTTTAAGAACTGCTATTATTATTTCATAGACATTTTATTTTTAATTTCATAAAAGCAACCGGAAGATTAAATAAATTATGAATAATAGGTTGATTTAAATATAATCAGAGGTACTTAAAGTCATCATCGGTTATAAAATGTAATAACTAGACTTTTTAACTCTCCCAGGGAACCCTATGGTTCCAAGGAATACCATTTGGGAACCTCTGGTTCAGGGTTCCGTAGCTGAAAAAATTGGGATACGCTGATCTAAAACATTATGCCAAAACACTTAATGACACGCAAAATGTTAAAATTTATAAAAGCGGCGATAACTTAACGGCCTAAACTGTCAATCAAATATTTTTCCTAATTAACTTGGCTAGAGTTTAAATTAAAATTTGTATCACATTGTTAAATTTACGTAAGATGTTTATTAAACATTTTTTGGAGGAACTATCTACATTCCTTTCTATAGGATTTTAACATAGCCTTCAAGCCCACCGATATACAATTTTCTCTATTTCTACAAATCGAACACTGGATATATCCATAAAAGGATTTAAAAATCTCACAGCCAGCGAGGTTATAAAATATAAGTCATTGAACGCGGAGAGTCATTGAACTTTTAGAAATCTTAACTAAAATTAATAAGCGATAACCATCTCAACTAACGGAAAAAGACATAACCTTCTGCAAGATTAATTTACTACTTTAATCAATACTTGCCAAAGAAAAGGAAGTTAATTTTCAGTCAACTAACTTAACCGCATAGTCATTTATAAACAAACTGAATCAAAAAGGTTGAAACATGACAAATAACAATAATAAATAATGTTCCAAAACTTCAATAAAAGCATCAGACAATATGACCTTTGTTAACCTTGCTCCTGTAAGCGACCAGACTAAAGTGCTTTCCCGTTGTCTCCTTTTTTGAAACAAACTTGCAGTTATTGTTGTGATACAGTTACCTTTTTCCTTCGTAAGTTTTGGTATTCCCAGAAGTTTACATATCTCGGTCAAGGTATAAACATAAATAATAAACACAAATAGAAAACAGGAAGCTGATACACAATAAATAGAGAAAGTTTTTGTTTTGACTGGCGATCGATATGATCGAAGCCTAATAAGGTGTCTCGATCGAAACGATCTCAGGGTCAATAAGAAATCGTAAACGGTAACTTAGGTGACCTTATCATTGACAAAATGACCTTCGTGGATTCGGGAGATGCTGAAGAATTAAAATAACCATTCATGCAAAATTGAAAGGATTTATTTTGGTTTTCATTTACCTTAAGGCAAAAATTCGAAACTAATATTTAATGGATGGACAAGGTCTGCCAAAGTATAAACAAAGCAACTAATCCAATAAAAAAAATGCCTATCTGACTGTTAAACTATTTCAAGCATATTACATACTTAAATAAGTTATTTACAATTTTTTTAAATTATAACAAACAATTTTACTTATAATTGAAGTTCTATTTGAACTAATTTAATTGATATTCTACACATAATTTTAATTTAATGCACGTAACTAAATTCAATAATTTGATGCATATAATAATATCTGATTTCAATGAAACATGGGAGTTTTGGATCACTTTTAACAAAAAAATTTTTTATAATTTTTGAACTTAATAAAATTTTCCATGTTGACATTCGATAGCTTGTCAACTTTTATATTATTATTTAAAATATAAACTATGTGGTTTGTTAAGGATTTTTAAATGTGCACAAACATGGTCGAATCTTTCTATTTGAGGATAGTTTTTAGTTGCCCCCTCTGTGAGGGTGCTGTACCTGTGAGGGTGCAAGAGAATTTAAAAAAAATATTAAAATCTATACAGAAGAAATACTGCAGGCAACCATTATATCTAAGAAATAGCAAATATTTTTTTAGTGATGAAAAATAAATCTGAATTGAAGTTTTAAAATTAATTTTGTTCAAAGCCTTAAAACAAATTATCTTAAGATACTTTTATTTAAAGATAAAAATTCACTGGAAAATTTTAATAGTCAATACACATTTTCCCTGCACCGTTTACTGATCTCTATTAGGATTTTTTTTTTTGAAGTTAATATAATAAATTTTTATGAAACATTCCAAAACAAAGAATATTTAATATTCAGAATTATGGCGAATGAAATTATTGACAAAAACAAAGCAAAACACGAAACAAAAATAGCGTGCTATTCAATTAAATTGATTGTTGGTCCGGAATTCCACCGGGGTCATGTGTCCAAACGTTATTGATCGATTAATGGTTAACTCGAGAATTCTAGTACAATGACGAGTTAAATCGTTATCTGTCAACACCGCTTGGGCATGAAAAGAAGAACTAACTCGTCACCGGTCAAAAAGGTGTTACTATTTTGTGAAGATTTCTTTATTTTATTTCACGCTGTGCAT